CCTTCATCCTGTGGGGCTCCTCCCACCACATCGGTGATGGATGGGTGAGAAAAGTGTCCGGCAGCCACTGCGTAGCCTGAAATAACACAGGTGGAAAGATCAAGGCTGAGAAGGAAGGTCAGGGAGGAAAAATATGTGTCAGAGAAAAAAGCTTCTCCAGCCTGCCCCTTATCTGGCTAAATGGCTCATCTCGAAACAACACATGTTCAGGGAGAGTTGCAGCTCACATCCTCAATCCCAGCTGTTCAGGAGGCTGAGATGTGACAATGATGTTTTTGAAGCCCAGATATACAACTCCAACAGGCCAGTTTGCTACTGAGTCTAATAAACAGCAAAAAGCTAGAAGTAGAATATGGCTCAATTGGGAGAGCAAGAGCTTGAGGCCTGGAGCTCAAGCCCCAGTACCAGCATAAAAACAAAGCAAAAATAAACCCAAATAATCACATTCAACCAAGACACAGGCACGAGAAAGACTGCTCTGCAGAACAAGCATGGTGCTTGTGTTTTTGTTTTTCTCTCTGGAGCATATGCACAGTAAAACATGCACAATGGAAGTGTAGAGTGTAATGGAAGCATGCATACACACACACACACACACACACACACACACACACAGACCACACAGACCAGATCAGGAATATGTGGATGTGGGGGCTGGGAGCATAGCTCAGTGTCAGAGAACTTGCCTAGTATATACAAAACAGCTAAATAATAATAATGATAAGGGAAAAGGGAATAGAAGAAAAGGAAAAGAAAGCAGACAGGAAGGAAGGAAGAAGGAGGGAGGGAAGAAGGGAGAGAGGTGAAGGGAGGCAGATAGGAAGGAAGGAAGGAAAGAGGGAAGGAAGGAAGAAAGGGTGGGGAGGAGGGAAGGAAGGGAAGGGAGGCAGACAAAAAAAGGAGGGAAGGGAGGAAGGAAACAAGCAAGCAAGCAAAGAAGCCAGGAAGGAAGAAGGGAGGGTAGAAAGTGAAAGGAAGCAGACAAAAACAAGAAGGAAGGGAGGAAGAAAGCAAGGGAGAGAGGGAGGGAATGAAGGAAGAGAGGAAGGCAAGGAGGGAAGGAGGGAGGGAGGGGTGGCTCAAGTGGTAGAGCACCAGGAAGGAAGGACAGATATCGGCACAGAATCACAACCCTCAAGTTCCTTCATGCATTCTTTTTTTTTTTTTTTTTTGTCGGTCGTGGGGCTTGAACTCTGGGCCTGGGCACTGTCCCTCAGCTCTTCAGCTCAAGGTGAGCGCTCTACCACTTGAGCTACAGCGCCACTTCCGGTTTTCTGGTGGTTTATTGGAGATAGGAGTCTCACGGTCTCTCCTGCCCAAGCTGGCTTTGAACCGCGATCCTCAGATCTCAGCCTCCTGAGTAGCTAGGATTACAGGCGTGAGCCACCAGCGCCCGGCTCTCTTCATGCATTCTTTCCAGTGTCTTCCAATAGGTAGCCATCACTCTATTCCTACTGCCATATTTGACCAGTTTTTCTAGAATTTTAGTCAACATAACCCCTGTGACATCTACACACACCGTCACATACCATTGTCTTTGGCTCCTTTTTCCTGTTGAGTAAAGTTCGATCTCAAGGACATGCATGCTTTTATGTCCCTGCTGCTGAATGCTGGTGCTGTTTCCAGTTTGGGATATATAGTAACAACAGCTGCTATCAGCATTTCACACCTGTCTTTGGGTGTCATTACTTCTTTTCATCTAACAACTCTAGAAATGTCTCTGCCTTACAGATGGGCCTATAAACAAAATATGGTTATATAACATGCCCCAAATTACAGAGCGAAACTCAAAGCCAAGTGGAGTGACTTCAGAGCCCTCACAGCTAATCATTATGTCAAACTCTTCCAAAGAGAATGGGTGGGTGGGTGGATGGATGGATGGATAGATGGGTGGGTAAGTGGATGGATGTGTGGGTGGATGGATGGATGGATGGACAGATGGGTAGATAGATGGGTGGATGGATGGGTAGGTGGATGGATGGATGGATGGATGGATGGGTGAGGGGATGGATGGATGGGTAGATGGATGGATGGATGAATAGACGGAGGGATGGATAGATGAGTGGGAGGGTAAGTGGGTGGATAGGTGGGTGGATGGGTGAGTGAGTGGATGGATGGGTGGGTGGATAGATGGATGAGTGGATGGATGGATGGAAGGATGGATGAGTGGGTTGATGGAATGGGTGGCTAAGTGGATGAGTGGGTGGATGGATGGATGGATGGATGGGTAGATAGATGCATGGATGGGTAGATGGATAGATGGATGGATGGGTGGGTGGATGGATGGATGGATGGGTGGATGGATGGATGAGTGGATGGATAGATGAGTAGGTTCATGGATGGGTAGATAAGTGGATGAGTGGATGGGTGGGTGAGTGGGTGGATGGATGGATGGATGGGTAGATAGATGGATGGATGGGTAGATGGATGGGTGATGGATGGATGGGTGGATGTATGTATGTATGGAGGGATGGATGAACAAACAGATGACAGACTGGTGGATTTATGTATGTATGAATGGATGCTTGGATGTATGGATGGATGTTAGGTAGATAGATGGGAGTGGAAGCATGCATGGATGAATGGGTGAGAGGGTGGATGGGTGAACAGATGAATGCATGTACAGATGGATGCGTGGTTGGTCAGTTAGCCACAGAATCTGGATACACAGGAATTAGGAAATGATTGGGGGAGGACCCATCTAAGTTCAGTCTAAATGTCTCTTGCCTTTTCACATTTTGTTGGCACTTTGAACATACTCTTTTGGCCAGGTGTTCTGTACAGGTTGTCATAAATTCCCCAAAACTTGTCATTGTCCTAAAACATAATGCTGTGGTTTTAAGATGCCTGAGTTTGTGATGACACATATTGTCTATGACTGTCATACAGTGATCAGTTGTGTGTGTGTGCGTGTGCATGCACGCTGAGGCTTGAACTCAGGGTCTCTTACTTTCACTTAGCTTTTTCACTCTAGGTTGGCACTCTACTTGAGCCACATCCTCACTTCCAGCTTTTTGCCAGTTAGTTAAGAGATATAAGTATCTAGGATTTATCTGCCCAGACTGACTTCAAACTGAGATCTTCAGATGTCAGCCTCTTGAGCAGTTAGAATTATAGGCATGAGCCACTGGTGTCCGACTTCCTTTAAGTTTTTGAGTTTGGGTCTTGCTACGGTGCCTAGACTTGCTTCAAACCTTCCAGACCTAAAAATCTTCCTATCTCAGCCTCTGTAGTGGCTAGAGCCACAATCCATTCATACATATATACATCTACCCATCCATCCATCCAACACAACCATCCATCCATCTACACATTCATTCATCCATCTATCCATAAGCCACCCACATCCATCCATCCATTCATGCATGCATGCACCCATCCATCTACCCACCACACACCCATCCATCCATCCATGCATTCATCCATGCATCCATCCATCCACCCATTCATCCATCCATCCATCCATCTACCCAGTCATACATTCATCCATGTATCTATCCATCTATCCTATGTACAAAAGGCACGTACCACTGTGCCCAACCTTCTATTACTCTTGTCTGATATCTGCTAAATTAAATGCCTCTTTTCTAAAAGATTCGAAGTCTTGACAAATTGAGAACATTTTCGAGCCTCTAATTAAATCTCAGCATCGCATTGCTTGTGTCATGATCAATGTCTGCTTCCCAGGGGCTTATCAGCATTCTGATAAATCGCAGTTTTCCTATTCTACTTTATTATCTGTGTGTAGTTCTCCAGAGGGGTTTCCATCCAACATGGCAGCTTATGAGCACAATGCATCATGATCAGTGTCACCCCTTCCACTACTAAATCACAATTTTCACTGCTTCTTCTTTTGTTCCTCTCTCTGCCTTACACAAAATGTGACAGATATTAAGTTAAAAGAGTAACTAATTTAGCCAGGCACTGGTGGCTCATGCCGGTCAATCCCAGCTACTCAGGAGGCTGAGATCTGAGGATCATGGTTTAGAGTCAGCCCGAGCAGGAAAGTCCATGAGACTCTCATCTCCAATGAATGAACCACTAGAAAACCAGAGGTGGAGCTGTAGCTCAAAGTGGTAGAGCACTAGCCTTGAGCAAAAGAGTTCAGGGGCAGTGCCCAGGCCCTGAGTTCAAGTCCCATGACTGACACAAAGAAAAGAAAAGAAAAAGAAGAAAACATAGTTAATTAGAATAACAGATGTAAAAGGCAACAACACTTCTTTCCATCAATTAAGCCATAGTCATGAGCATGGTGGTAAGAAATCACAGTTCCGGTGTGAGCCTGTGAGTCTCATAAAGCTACTCACCCAAGTATGTGTACCGCCTATTCATGATTGTCTCATCGTTGAGTTTAAAATAGGTGTTGTCCGTGACATTCAGAACTTTGACTGTCCCGGCCCAATAAAACGACCCAGGAGCACCCATGACCACCAGCTCCTAGAGAAAGAGATGCCAAGGTGAACAGACATACAGAGGAAGACCAGGGTGTTGGGAGGCCCAAGAGAAACAGTCTCAGCCAAAGAAGAATCAGAATTAAGTTAAAAAATATCTTACCAAGCTGGGTGCTGGTGGCTCACACCTGTCATCCCAGCTACTGAGGAGGCTGAGATCTAAAGGTGGTGGTTCAAAGCCAGCCCAGGGAGGAAAGTCCATGAAACTCTTTATCTCCAATGAACCACCAGGAAACCAGAAGTGGCACCATGTATGGTTCAAGTGGTAGAGCGCCAGCCTTGAGCAAAAGAGCTCAGAGACAGCGCCCAGACCTCAAGTTCAAGCCCCAGGACTGGCATACACATGCACAAAAAAAGCTTTGTAGGTTATCTAAGGTGTTCAGAGATAGACACAAAGTGTTTCTGGGCTACACAGGACATATCTGACAGTAGTCATACTAATTACACTGTTCAAAGAATCAGGAGCAAGAGAAATTTATAGTACACTAAGACAGGAAGGTGGGTGACAGGGTTATGTGCCAACCAGTCTCCTTCCCTCCCTTCCATCCTTCCATCCCTCCTTCCTTCCTTCCCTTTCCTCCCTCCCTTTCCTTGCTTCCCTCCTTCCTTCACTCCATCCCTCCTACCTCCCTTCTCTCCTTCCTTCCTTATTTCCTTCCTCCTCTGCTTCTCCCCTTTCCACACTCAGGATCTGTCACTGGGAAAATATGGCATTCATTCATTCATTCATTCTCCATACCTCAGCTTTTAGTGTGAGGGACTTCACTAGTTCTCAAGGGCAAACTTTGAGTGCATCAGAGGAATAACACTTGTGTGTATGTGCATGCACACGTGTGTGTGTGTGTGTGCGTGTACACACACACGGGCGCGTACCAGTCCTGGGACTTGAACTCAGGGCCTAGCACCATCCCTGGGCTCCTTTTGCTCAAGGCTGGAGCTCTACCAGTTGAGCCTCAGTGCCGCTTCTGGCTTTTCTGATGGTTCATTGGAGATTAGAGTCTCATGGACTTTTCTGCCCGGGGCTGGCTTTGAACTGTGATCCTCAGATGTCTGCCTCCTGAGTAGCGGGGGTGACAGGCATGAGCCACCTATCTAGGAGTGAGGCTTTTTCCTGGCCTTGGGCTTGGAAAAGAATACACAGTTAGAGCCTGAATGTGAAGGGCACAAGAGGACACCGGTGAGGTCCTGGGCGCTAACTGCAAGCAGCACACAGTACTTTCTCCACCTGCAGCTCCAGAGAGCCCAAGGCCTGGACAGCAACCTGGAAGCAGGCAGAGGGGTGCAAGTTCTGACAGTGACACAGATCCATCCAGGCTGGGAGGGGTGGGGCGATGGGCAGGGGACTCTGAGCAGGGTGCTCTCCAGCCCACACGGTGCTTAGAGACCTCTACACAGCTACCAAGAGGTCTGCTCCCTCCCAAGCTACGGAAACAGCCCAGATGCCCCACAATCGATGAGCAGATACCAAAAATGCGGTCCCTCAACACCACACACACCCAGTCTCACACAGCCACGAGAAAGAATAACATTACGGCCAGGCACTGGTGGCTCACGCCTGTAATCCTAGCTACTCAGGAGGCTGAGATCTGAGGATCGCGGTTCAAAGCCAGCCTGGGCAGGAAAGTCCGTGAAACTCTAATCTCCAATAAACCACCAGAAAACCGGAAGTGGTGCTGTAGTTCAAGTGGTAGAGCACTAGCCTTGAGCTGAAGAGCTGAGGGATGGCATTCAGGCTCAGAGTTCAAGCCCCACGACCGACACACACACAAAATAACATTACCTCATTTGCAGAGAAATGGATGGACCTAGAACAAGTCCTGTGAAGTGAGGTCAGCCAGGCTCAGAGAGACACAGGGTGCCATGTTCTCTTCTCCTACGTGGAAGCTAGATCTACACTACATCAGGACAGGATGAATGACCCAGGACTCAAGGCCTTCACACACAGGGAGACCCAGGAGGAGGCTCCTAGGGGAACACAAAGACCCAAGGCCATTGTGCCTCTGATCCTACAAAATAATATTCACCCACATGAACTCCAGGGCATGAAAGCAAGAGGCTCTTTTCCTCTTCTGCTTTTTGTTTTCTCTTCTTTTTGTCTTGTTCGTTCATTTGTCGGGGGGCACAGAAATGGGGGGGGGTGGGACGGAGGGTGAACAGAGGCAACCATAATCCTCACTGGACATGATGTGGAGAATGAACTTTACACCTTGTGAGTGGGGATGGGAGGGAAAAAGGGGAGCCAGCAAGGGAAGGGGGACATGGTCCAAAAGAAAATGTGTTCATTTCCTGATTTCTGGGACTGTCACCCCTTTGTTCATTGGCTTATAATAATTTTTAAATTTTTTAAAAAGAACTTTTAAACATTCCTATAACATATACAACCACCAAAAAAATTAGATTAACCCAGGGCAAAGATGAAACATGAATGTCCAGCCTCCTTTCATCCCTTCTCAAACATTGCAACATACACAAGACCAAGAAACTTCTTTCTTGTTGCTAGTGGGGCTTGAACTCAGGGCCTGGGCACGGTCCCTAGACTTCCTTGTTTGAGGTTGGCACTCCACCGCTTGAACCACAACTCGCCTCTGGATTTTCAGCAGTTAGGCAGAGGTAGGTTTCTGGTGGATTTTTCTGCCCCAGTTGGCTTCAACCCTTAATCCTCAGATCTCAGACTCCAGGACAGCTGGGATTACAGGCGTGAGCCACCATATTGAGCTCCCTAAGGCACTGATGAGCAGATGCCAAACCTGAGGAGGACTCAGAGCCCTGTGTGCACCTAAAAGGAATGGTTGTCTGTCCCCACCTGGCCTGAGCCCGGGGTGACTGGGGCTGGGGCTGGTTGTGGGGGAGGGGGCAGAGAGTTCAGATCTTCTGCGGGGCGCCGGTGGCTCCCGCCTGTCATCCTAGCTACTCAGGAGGCTGAGAGCTGAGCATCATGGTTCAAAGCCAGCCCAGGCATGCAAGTCTGTGAGACTCTTATTTCCAATAAACCACTAGAAAACTGGTGCTGTGGCTCAAGTGGTAGAGTGCTCGACTTGAGCTGAAGAGTGTAAGGACAGCGCCCAGGCCCAGAGTTCAAACCCCACGACTGACCAAAAAAAAAAAAAAAATAAGAAAAAAGAAAAAGAAAACTCTCCACTGAGTGAACTCCTACCCAGATTTGCACTCTCTAGTGCAGATGAGTATCGTAAGTAAGAATCATATCTGTCATCTTTGTTATTCCAGTCCACAGAAAAACAAATACGTTACCAGGAAAGCCTCCCTTACGTTCACCGCAGCCGGACTCAAGAGCTGGAGGAGCAGGGAGGATGCGCGGCCTGCAGGCCCAGGCATGGACTTGCCTGCCCAGCAGAGTTGGGGAGGATGGGGGAGACTTCCCCTCTGGAGGGTCAGTCTGCAGAGGGGTCAGCGGGCGGGCAGCTGCGGCTAGGGCTCCCTGACTCTGCTCAGCCAGTGGCAGATGGCTGGTGTTCCAGAAATGAGGGAGGCAGCAGGTTCAAAGACCTCACATCTGAGGCTGAGGAAGCCTGGGAATCAGAGTGGAGGCTGAGTTCCCGGGGGGGGGGGGCTGCCTTGCCTCCACCCAGCCCCACAGGACTGCATTCAGCAGAGCCTGGCATTTTCTCCACTACCCTGGAGCTGGCACGTCTGCCCATGTCTGCCCCTCCAAGGAAGGGTCCTTCTCATGTCCCTGTCCAGTCCAGCCATTCACATCCCAGCCCAGGGTGCCCCCCCCACTCCCAGAAGAACCCTGTGTCAAGAGGGGGCCTCTCTTGCCAGCCCTATTTGTAGTAGGAGCAACGGCCAAATCTTTTTCTTTTTGTCAGTCATGGGGCCTGAACTCTGGGCCTGGGCTTCTGTCTCTGAGCTTCTTGTGCTCAAGGTTGGTGCTCTACCACTTGAGCCACTGCGCCACTTTTGGTTTTCTGGTGGTTCATTGGAGTGAGAGTTTCATGGAGACTTTCCTGCCTGTGCTGACCTCGAACCATGATCCTCTAGATCTCAGCCTCCTGAGTCTCTGGAGTGACAGGCATGAGCCACGGTGCTTGGCCTCACTGGACAAACCTTCAGTCACGATGAGGCCCAACTTGACTGGCTTCTGTGTCCGCAAGAGACTTCTGTGGGAATTTCCCAATGAGCCACCAGTCCCTAACTGTCTGCCCAGTGGTCTCTGCAGTTGATGCCCCCCCATCTACTCCTCAACACACGCACATGCATGCACACATGCACACACACACACACACACATACACACACACTCACAGGTTCAAACAAACTCCCTTCATGAGAGATCCAGAATCTGGGAGACCCGAAGCCTCACTCCAAGGGCCTCCAAAGTCAACCCTCCCTCCTTCTGCCCCAAAAAGCAAAGAAATAAATATCTAAAGTAGGAAGGCGGACAGTGGAGACCTACCTCGGTGAAGAAGCCTGCGATCCCCGCCTGGCAGGAGCCATGCTCTTCCCCGTACTTCTTCTTGTATTCTGCAAGGAGAGAGGGTGTGAGAGCGGCCACAGCTGTGTCACCAAGTGCTGGGTGCTGTGGGGGGCTGGCCTCGTCCCCCCACCGGCCACATACCCGCTGCACACCTGCCACACACACCACACACCTGCCACACACACACCTGCCACACACCTGAGCACACCACACACCTGCCACACACATCCGCTGCACATCACACCACAACCTGCCGCACACCACACACCTGCTGCACACTGCACACACCCATCATACCCAGCACACACCCGCCACACATCACACCCACTGCACACACCACACACACCCGCCACACACCACATGCACCACACCACACACTCACCACACACACTACACCACACCCGCCACACACCACACACCTGCTGCACACCACACCTGCTACACACACCACAGACCTGCTACATAACTCACACCTGCCACACACACCCTACATGCCATACCCACCACACCACACACCCGCCACACACACAGCACACCTGTCACACACACACCACACACCTGTCACACACAGCACACCCGCCACACATCACACACACACCACACACCCGTCACACACCCACCACACACCCATCACACACACCCCACACACCCATCACACACACCCCACACACCCATCATACACACACCACACACCTGTCACACACACAGCACACCCGTCACACACACACCACACACACCACACACCTGTCACACACACAGCACACCCGTCACAC